ATCAATAAAATTGATTGAATATATACACATGCATGATCATTGACAATTCAGGCATTGAACGAGCGCGGCCTGTTGGATATTTGCATGCCTATAGTAGCTGGCCACACGTGGTGCCGCACACGAACAGCGCCACGTATGGTATGACGGTCATGCAGATTGCCATATGCCGCACACGGGACATGCATGCGAGCAATCGAAGTTGCCATGAGACGGTTGCCGCCTGGCGCGTTCCGTGCCAGTTATAGACGGTCGTGTGTGAGAAATCGTTGACACCCATCGGGGAACTTATGTATCGCACAGGCCATCCGGTCCGATGATATAAAAGGATGAGAACTTGAAAGACTGATCTACACCATGCATACATGGTACAGTCGGACGTCTATTACACCACAAATGTATTGAGGTCCCAACTTAGCTAGCCTGATCGAGCGGGTCAAGGTCAAGGGGCCCGGGGGTCGTCAGTCGACCATGTCGGACGGTCCCCTGTCCTTTACAGCAAGTTCGAAATGCCACTGCCGGGGCACAAACATCTTGCAATGATACCATGCATATCAGACTGCAAAAGCATGGATTTGTTATAGCATCCACATCGTTGAGCAGATTGTTTGAATGCTTAGAAACGACCTCCTAGGCTCGAAGCAGTCACTGAATGGTCTCCAGCCCTTAATGAAAGGTCCACAACAGACCGCATGTGCAGAGTACCCGAAGTGCAACAGGACCGTCCACTACTTGGATCCTGCCTACATTTCCAGCGTCAAAACTCTGAGCCTTAGAAATTGTTGATACAACTTTGCCGCGTCAATCCTGAAACTTGGGTTTGACGAGTCCTCATCCACCTCAAAAATTCGCACCGTGTCCTTCGCCTTGGACCTACTACTTTCCACAGCCCAGACCGAAAGTTGTTCGACTTGAGGACTCAGCCATAGCCATAAATTGCTCCAGATTTGACGAATCTATTGCCAATGCCTTGAGACAGGGGAAGGCATCACCCGCTGGTACATCATCACAGACGCGCACATCCAGGGTGAGCAAAGCTGGACACTTCAGGAACACACTGTTTCTGACGCTCCATTCAAGATGCAAGAGTGACCTTGACACTACTTTGTAGGATGCTTCGTGCTTGCCTATGCCAATTGTTTGGAACTTCAGGGTCTGTAGGTGATTTAAGCTGCTGATGTTGTCAAGGATGCCAGGATCTACGTTTGTGACTTTGTCCAGTGCAAGCATCGTCAGGTTTTGGAAGCTGTTTGGTACTGTGAAGCCTCGAAGCTCTACGTTGCACACATCAATGGACCGCAGATTGCGGTAGTTGTTAAGCATCAGGCCAAAGCGGGTCATGCGCAGCGGCCTATCTAGCAGGTTCCGCAGGTGGAGTTCCTCTAGGGTTTCCCAGGCGGCCGGAATTGCAGCACCACATATTGCTCGTGCGTCAAGCTCGGGACATTTACACCAATCGTTGCACCCCAGTGCACAAGTAAACTCGTATTTCAAACTTTTGCATACCAATCTGTGCCTGGCAATGGCTCTATGTCCTCCTCGTTTTCAAACTTCCACTCCAGAGCCCCGGCTTCCGCCACCAGATTATAAAACCTCTTGCACACGGTGAGAAGGCGCGTCCGCGTCTTCGGCTCCCCCAGAAGCTTGAAGATCTTGATGACCACAGAATCATCCAGACTGGAGAAGGCGTCTGGAGCTGGCGCCATTGGTACTGCGCACGTAGGGTAGCCGCCCAGCTTCTCTTCGGAGTTCTAATTGTCTGATTAGAAAAGATTCTATAGAGACACCCTTCGGGCTGTAAAATCTGAGATTAATAGTTGTTTTTGGATTTGGGTCGTCGGATCTTGATGACGTCAGGTTGTAGCTATCTCTGATCGTTGATTTGTCTGTTCTTGTCGATTTTCTTACCGATTTACAAGTGGGGTTCTGGGTACATACATACCGGATGGATGTGAGGGTGTACACGAGGACCCAGACCGCAAGTCCTGCAAATCAGCGCATGAATATAGAAGTCTATTTTGAAGTACCCGCAACTGTCTCAATTAGGGTGTCGGCACGGCGGGGCAAAGTGTGAAGATCGAGGACAAATCATCGATTGGAAAGTCCCCGATCTTTTTGGTGCTAATGATTGGCACAATCTGTACACCCCTCATGTGTACACCCTGTACTTTTTACCTTCCGAGCCTGAGGTTGTCAATGAAACCTCTACCGAAATGCTCGCACGCGCAACGCATGATCCAGGTTTCACGATTTTTTCACGGTCCCTAGTTCTCATACATGGAGTTGAACCGCTGAACGCATTTGTAAATTGTAGGGGCAGCGCGCCAAAACAATGTCAAGACCGCAGTCATTGTTTTAGCAGACTCAGAATGACATGTTCATGTGTACCCCACCCACTAAACAACCAGCACGCATTATGAACCGTTAAAAGCCTCTTAATACATCCATCCACGGCCAGGATGCTTTCGCGGTCCAGCATTCAAATTTGGGTACCATTGTAAATGGCGTGAGATTCGGAGTTCGACATGCACTGGCAGGAGTCGGTTTTGAGCGAGTACCGTGGATTCGTCCGCAGTCTAGTTCTGGTCGACCTCAGGAGCGGCCCGTTGTCAACCGTCCATTTGAAAGATACTGCTCCTTATCGACGGGACACAATGGATCACTCTGAGCTCACGTTTTGCCGGCTTTCACGGGACACCGTCGGTCTGAAGTCATCTTGCCGTTGTTCAAGAAACTCGCAGGGAGCTTTTACCGTGGAAAGCCCCCGGAGAAAAATAGAGAAATGGGTTTAAGGTCTGTCCGAGATCGTTAATTCTTTTCCCTCTTTGGATGGCACAGTTGACCATAGGTTTGTAAGCGCGGGAAAGATAACTCTGGTTGAAAGTAGTTCCTTTTGGAGGGTACTTTCGACGCGAGGGTTTCGATGACCCTCATTCAAACATCCCCTCTGGGACTGCCCCTGCTCCAGAGTCAGATCCAGATCTCTGACTGCACAAGAAAACTCTAGCTGGAGTCTGCACAACGTGCAACGGCCAGATTCAAGGAGGAACGTTGTCAGCACAAACTTCAGAAACTTCAGGTTCCTGTCTGGCAATGCCGCCTCTTTAGCTTGCCAAGTCGAAGATCCAAAGTTTCAGAGCGTGCTTTCGCTCTACCACCACTCACAGCATTGCACAGATTCTGCTCCAAGAGGCGCCATCTGAATCCTGAAGAGCTGAGCGAGAACGGTCACAGACACTCTCGTACGCCAAGCAAGGGTTTACATTTGCCGCTACTCTGGGAAGCGGACAAGATGAGGGGTCTCAGAGGAGCTCTGCTCCTCAGCCTTGTATGCAGCATTGCGCTTTCAGGTGGGTCCACGAAAGAGCTTGAAGCAGCCTTATCTGCTTAGATCTTGCTGCCTTATTTTGGATTTATGTTTCGAAGGCGCTTGAAATTTCCAGGCAGAGGCGACGAAGAAACAACCTCGTGACAATTATAGCTTTTGGCTTGTTCCTGTAGTCCTTATGACAGAGTATGCGAGCAAGTGTTGTCATCATAGTGGTCTTTCTTGCGTGGCGCCGCTTTGAAATAGTCAATCAGACGTCAAACCAAATTATGTTTCTCCCAGAGTACTCACTGAGAAAGCTGTTGTGTTACTGTGGTTGTCTGCCTTTCAGAGGTGTTTTACAACTTCCATTCAATTTTCCCACCTTGCGTTTGCTAGAATAGCTAGCTTTCTACCACCGTGCATAGTTAAAAGCTGGTTGTCGCTGGAGACGGATACCCCATTTCTCTTTGAGTGGTATCAGGTCGCAATCTTGTGAAATCACAGGTCACTTTCCCTTCTTTAGTGCGATAGCGACATGTTGCTACAAGAAAGGCACAGACTCTAGGTTCCATCTCCTATTGGAAGCAGCTGTTTTGAAAACTGCCACCACTATCAGTGTTCCTGCAGCCCCTCTTCATTCATCCCTCTCACGCCAAAAGTCTACACGTACTTATGGCGCTTTCAGAGTATGAGAGGCTTCTTTGTGCTATGTTCTCAAAATTAATGTTCGTTTTGTCAAACACCGTTTGTTGTCTACTCTACTACGCTTTCGCTTACTGTTATGTGCTTGGGTTGAATCATATCTGAGCTGAGCAAAGGTGGTCCCTTTAGGTTTTATTGCTTGTTGCTCTTGTGCTTTCAAAGTCAAGCTCTGGACAGGTGTCAATTTGGGATGCAGCAGATCTTAGCGCCTCCTTCGACTTTGAACAACTCTTTTCATGTCACTTAGACAAATGTACATGCGATTGTGATCATGCTCTGCAACCGCCATGTTGCAGGATAGAACTTGATCGAGCAAGGGCTTTTGAAAGTGACAGGGCTCTGCAGGGCGCTAGGGCAGTCATAAGCGTTTCTTATAAGCAATGATGCACACTTTAGCGGTGTAAACATTGAAGTAGGGTCACTATTCTCTTGCTCTCGATATCCTCACTAAAATAAGTATCTTTGACAATTTACTGGGGCGCTCCCTTTCGAATGCAAGGTGATACTATCACTCAACTTGGTGGTTGCCGACTCACTTTTGGTGCCAACACAAACGATATCAGATGGTGGTAGTCCCTCACACAAGGAAGAAGAACAATGTTTTTGAGGGATCTACTGAAGCTTCACTCATCTGGCTGAGCAATCTAGGGTTTCTTGCTTTGGGCTTGCTTTCACTGGAGAGGAGCATGACTTTCTTGGCGCGATTTGCCCAAGTCAGTAGCGAGTGATCCCTCGTTCTGAAGTGCTCTTTGGAGCCTCAAGTATGAGTATGCTGACCCCAATCTTGGTGACCTCATTACTGTTATTTGTGTACCTGAATGTCCTTCCATCTTTATCTCCTCCTCCATGCTCTGAAGCTCTGTTTTACCGTTAGTCTGCTCTTCCAAGACTCCTGAAACTTCGTCCCCTGTACACAAGCTTTGCACACATGAACCTGTTCCGGGTGCCTTTTGAACGTCTGTGTTTGTTCCTTTCTCCCATCCTCCTTTGCCCTTTTGATGGAGTGAAGTGGCTCCTCCCTTGAACTCCTAGATATCGTCTGCTGTGACGCGTTTGACGCCTTGTCTGTTGCTCACTTACTCAATACCACTCAATGGGCTTGAGACTCCTTGATCCCTTCTCCCCGCCAGTCTGCTGATTTCTCGTCTTCTGATTTGATCATGCACACCGCATCATTGCACTAGATGGATCATTGAATCTTGTCAGACCAGAGGCTCCTACCAAATTCGTGGCCCTCTATCCTTTCTTTGGGTTGTCAGTATACAGCCCTTCTCTGACTTGGAGTTGATGTGTCAAGTAGACACCCGCCTGCTTCCTACGCTCCTGCTTTCTTGGTGGTTTTGTTGGACTTCCTTTCGCCTAGTCAGCGCACACCGCTTAGTTCCATACAAGTTCCATCTTCCGCCAGAGATCAATTTCACTTCCTGCCAGTCTACTCAACCTCTCGTTGCAGTGTGTGCAGTCCTGCCAGCCTCGTTTTTGGAAGTGCAGTCAAAGCACGAAGCTTGATTCTATACGCGTAATATCTCTGTTCTACTACTCCTCTTCCTGCCAGTCTGTTAACTTCTCGTGTCTCAATGTGCAGTCAGTGGACAGAGCGCCCAAGCGCCCGTTTCGAGCACTACTTTCACTGCGCAAGCTCCGACAACCAGTGCTCAGGGCCCGTCCTCCCCTGGTCCTAACACGCTGAACGTGCCTCCAGCATCCCAGATCGTGAGTACACTTTCTCAACTCACTGGACCTACTGTTAAAAGAAAAGCAAGTTCTGCCTTCCTACGAGTTGAAGAAAGTATGATCGACATTTGTCAACCCTTCGCCAGCTTTGCCTCCGCATGGGTCGAGAGTAATGTAATCTGTACCCTTGATTTGGCTCCTGAACCAACTTCTTCCTACTCCGATGTGCGGTCCTTTGATTCACGCCTTTTGAGAGTCTCGCAAATGAACTTTGTCACCAACCCAAATTGTCTAACTACTTTCTAGAATCTACTATCCACCAACCAGCTTTTGCAATGCTCACCTTTCTGACCGAGACCCTTGTGACAAAGGTCTGGTAGACAGCCTGCAGCCGTTTGCCGGTGTCTCACTCAAGGACAACTTGCTACTATCAAGGCGATTCCCAAACCGACCTCTGACCCGGATACCAACCCGGTTTTGCAGTGCCCTGACTCTCTTGTTGAGACCCTGGCCGGACAGAATCTGGTCGAAAGCCCCCAACCCTTTGCCGGCGTTCCCTCTTCATGGGGCCAAACGGTTTCGGCCAGTTCTCTTGCTGTCTCGTCCGACAGGACCTATATTGCCGTCACGAACCGTGCGGGACCCGGTTCAGGCGCCGCCCTCACAGTGAACAACATGCAAGTCGGTTCGTTCTACAAGGTGAGCGGGTTGCTTGAGGTGTTTTGTGATGCAGTTTTGAACGAGGTCAAACTTTTGATCAACCAGATCGATCAAACGGGAAGTGCGCCACTGGGACACGACTCCGTGCGCCTCCTTGTCAATACTCCCATTGCAGTCAATGTATCTGAACAACTTGCAGTACCTTACGTGTTTGTCTGGAGCAGGCGAAAATGTTTTTGCATTGTCAAGTGCTCAGAGACGTAGCGATGCTGCTCTTCCAGTTGAAAATGGTTGGGTCTATGCTGGTGGGGTCGAGATACGTTCGTTGACGGGTGGTCATATGTGAAGGCGTGGCTAATTGCTTATCGTGCAGGTGGGCGCCTATGTCAAAATCAGCGGGTCGACCAACGAGAAGCTGCGCATGACCTTCAATTTCAACGGCAACGATTACAAGGTAAGGACGGCCACTAGGAGGTCCCACGTGCACCTCATCGGCGGCTGACTGCAGTATGCAGGGAAGCTCTTTCCAAAATGCAATTGCCAAAACGCGCACTGTGAACCATTTTTTGAAATGCCAGGAGAACCGATTTCGTACTGTTTGGGCCCGTTCCCAAGGATTGTAACATTGTGGCGGGGTATTCCGACTGCTGCAAACGCCATCGTGAGATCCCTCGCAGTATCTTCTTTTCCGAGTCGGCAAGATCTTTTATCTGGAACTTCTCTAATTTGGAGCTTTATTGTGGACGTTGGAACCTGGTAAAGTGAACGTTGACGCAGTCTGTTTCCTTCTTTGCAGTGCGCGGCAATCGTTTCCGTTGCATACTCCGACCGCTACACACTGGTTCTGGGCGCCATTATCGGCCCCGCCAGAGATCTCAAACGAAATCTTAGGGAATTTGGTGATCCCTCCTGCGGGCCAAAAAGCTGAACTTGAAGTTTTCCCAACCTTCTTGCAGTGCGCCGCGATCGTTTCCGTCGCATACTCGGACTGCTACACCCTGGTTCTGGGTGCCATTACCGGCCCCGCCTCCGCTGCGCCGCTGAACAGCGTAAAGCTCTTTATCACCGGAAACGAGGGCAGCGACGTCCAGCAAGCGCCCTTCGAGATCGACATCTACAGCGTGGCGGTTGTCGGGGTGAACCGGGCCACGTGGCTGGCTGACGTTCAGCAGAGGACGGACTTGGTAAGTCTCTTTCAGAAATTCTGACTTCGAGGCCTGAATCTGCGCATGATGCTTGTAAGAGGTGGAGTCCGGGATTCGAACACCTGTCTGGGGTGTTCAGTCATGAGTTCGTTAATTACGTCACCGGGAGGGACGCTTACAGTGTGGTGTTTGACGTTTGTGCAAAGCTGACTACGGAGGTCTTTGCGTTCGGTTACGTGGCGCCAGGAGACGAGTTGGTGCTTGTCAAGACTCTTGAGATTCGTTTGCTACAAGCTTATAAGGGATGCCATAGGATGTGGCGCTGATGATTTTGAGCCACGCATGTTGCTAATCGGCACCAGAGCGTTTACATCCTCTCTGACCATTTTTGCCCCCAGATTTTTTCGATCTGAACTCGAAGGAAAAAAGCGTCCTCTCGTCCGCAGCCTTCTATCTTGCTTTCAAGGTCCAATTCACTCTTTGCTGACGTCATACCCTCTTGCAGGTCCGCAAGCGTGACGTCATCGTTACGGTGAAGGATGCTTTCGGCAACCCCGTCCCCAACGCGACGATCTCCATCAACCAGCTGAACCAGACGTTCCCCTTCGGTTCCGATCTGCATAACGACGCGTACAACGACACCGCCTACCGCAACTGGTTTGCCAGCAAGTGGGGCAATGGTTACTCGTGGACTGCCTACAACAGCGCTCTCAAGTGGTAAGTGGTCATAAATGCTTGACCTCACTTGTCTTCTTTAGAGCCCTGACATTTCGATGTTTCCTGATCTGCAGTGCTGACACGTGGTCTGCTGCATTTGTATACCCAGCTTTGTGAGCACTCATGAGCGGCTGGGATTTACGTTCATTGGGTTTCAAATCATTTTTATCCTAGGTGTTACGTCTTCCATTCCAGCCGCGATGCAGTCCATTGAACTCAAGACGACACACAACCGATTAGTCGACCATGTGTAAGCAAAGTTGCTGTTTACAATCGGTGGAACACGTCGATGCCCGTTTGGGGCCTTACAGTAGGCTGTGGCTTATTGTCGACAAAAAGTAGATAAGTATTTCGAGTTTTGACCTCTTTTTCCAGGTTCGCTATGCAGGTTCGTGTCTGCGCGTCATACAGTCCGCCAATGATCGTTCTTCCGTCGAGATCAACCACTTTATTAACCCAGACTTTGACTTCTTTTCCAGTTACGCCATGCAGCCCGACGAGCTCGATGTGACCACGGTCCAGGTGATCAACCTACAGAACTCGTTGACTTAAGAAGATTCCATTAAGCGTCGACCATACCTCACAAATGCTGGAATATCATGCAGTTTCTCAACCCCGATTTTAACCGTCTTGACTCAGGTACGCTATGCAGCCCGACGAGCTTAACGTGACCACGGTCCAGGTGATCAACCAACAGAATTGGCTGAACAACAACTCGATCAGCGTCCGTGGTCATACCATCTTCTGGGATGACGTCGGCACGACTCAAGACTGGGTGAAGCTGATTGCGGATACGGACCCCGTGCGCCTCTTCGGCTACATGCAGCTGCGGATCAATGACGTTGTCGGGCTGTTCAAGGTGGGATGTATTTCCTGTTTTAGGTTGAATGGTGTGGTTTGTAAGTCCAGTGAGTGCTTAATGCGTTGTTTAGTGTCGGTTCTGAAGACTGGGTGAAGCTAATTGCGGATACGGACCCCGTGCGCCTCTTTGGCTACATGCAACTGCGCATCAATGACGTAGTTGGGCTGTTCAAGGTGAGGATTACGTGCTGTTTTTGGTGTGGCTGGTCGGTGCTTAGCTGTTTTCCTTTGCGAGGGTGTACGGGCGATCATTTGTCAAGGGATCGGGCTTGCTGTGATCTCTTCGGTGCTGCTTGATGCCAATCTGCACTCTTGAAAAACGGAACTGCATCCGCCTTTTTCCTGGAGTTTGGGGCATTGGATGCACGAGCTGCGTTACGACCCCGCTTCTCTTGCACAACGCCATTGGCCGTGGGGACGCCTCCAACGAGCTTTTGCAGAAGAACCACTTTTGGAGCAGGCTGGGCTCCGACGTAAAAGCTCGAGAAGTTCAAGAGTCACCGAGTTCTGCTGTGAACCCATTCTTGTTTTATTTTGCAGAACGCCATCCGCCAGTGGGACCCCTCCAACGAGCTCATGCACAAAAACTACTACGCACAAAAGCAAGCTGGGCTTCACCGTAAAAGGTCCGTAAGCTCAAATATCGCACAGAACGGCTGTTATCTCATCAGTACTTCCCCAGACCCTAAGAGTTAAACACACCAAAACCTGTTTCTGCAGAACGCTATTCGCCAGTGGGACCCCTCCAACGAGCTGATGCACAAGAACTACTTCTCGAGCAAGCTGGGCTTCGACGTTAAGCCGTGGTACTTCAACCGCACCAAGACGCTCGACCCCACGGGCGTCACCTTCTTCAGCGACTACAACATCGTCGAGGCATGCGACGACGGTATTTCCTGGCCCGAGTCGGCGATCGAGTTCGTGAAGTACCTCCGGCGAAACGTGAGCAGATTGTGGTTTGCCTCGCGAGCCTTTAAAGTCTTCGGCTTACTGCTTAGGCCCGCTTCGTAACACAACATAAGGGAGGCGTGGGACGTTTGAACTGGACCCGGCCCGACACCCGTCACTCTTACGACCATCGAGAACCTTGACTTTCTGGTTGAAAGCCGGTGCGTTGGATCGGTCGGGGCCAAATTACACCGTCAACCCCGTTTCTCATCCGCTTGCGTTTGGACAACGTCGGAAACTTCCGTGCTGCCCATCTGAGAATCCAGACCTACCTACAGCCCAAGCCTTGAAAGCTCATCGTCTAGATTTTTACATTTTCTCTGCCGGGCGGTCCGGATGCCTTTGCCGTCTAGTGCCTGAATACATCAGTCACGTCTTCCCTTTTTCAAAAAGCTGGACACGCTCAACGCTTCAGCATGCGCTTCACGATTTTCGAAGTCTTCCAGAAGCAGAGCGCCCGCACGCGTTTGCGCAGAAACACTCAGTTTTTTGGGTCTCCTCTGCAGGGCGGTCCAGCAAATGCCTTTGCCGTCCAGGGCCAATTCACGCCGTCAACTTCGTTTTTCATCCGCTTACGATTAATCAAGTTCGACAGTCCAGAGATTGCCCAGTTTGGATGTTCAAAATGATTCCAAGCCCAAGCAAAAAGCCCGTTGTCTAAGAAAACGTACGACTCTCAACATCTCTTGTCTACAGGGCGGTCCGGTGGATGCCTTCGCCGTCCAGGTCCAGTTCACATCGATCACGCCGTTCCTCCTCCGCTTTGGTTCGGACAAGCTCGGACAGTTCGGCATCCCCATCTGGATGTCCGATTGGTTTGCAGAGTCTCATCTTTGAAGACGTACGACTCACAAGTTCTCTCTCTTCTACAGGGCGGTCCGGTGGATGCTTTCGCGGTCCAGGGCCAATTCACATCGATCACGCCGTTCCTCCTCCGCTTCGCTTTGGACAAGCTCGGACAGTTCGGCATCCCCATCTGGATGTCCGAAGTCAACCTCCGCCTGGCCAGCGAGCCGTACTCAGCTCAAGCGCAGCGCGACAACTTCGAGCTGATTGTGCGGGAGCTGTATGCGCACCCTGCGGTTGATGTGAGTCGTTTGTCGCCTCCGTTTGTTCCAGTTTGGATCAGCAGCCTTTTATCTCGATGCGTCGATTTGCTTTCCTGGCTTCATTAGATCGCCCCGGGTCTTTGTGCGCAATCCACAAACACAAACTCTTCATCAGAGCGAAGTCTTTGTGTTCCCTATGGTTGATGTGAGTCGTTTGTCGACTCCGTTTGTTCCACTTTGGATCAACGATAATCCATCTTGTCGAAGCCTGAAAGGCATACTCTCCCTTGACGCAGCAAAATTGCCCCGAGCCTTTGCGCAGTTCACAGTATTGAAATTTTTTCATCACAGCAACGTCTTTCTGTTCAAGAGGTCAAAATGGCTTCGCTTCGCTTATTGCTCAAGCCGCTTTCCGCCCAATCCTCGACGATTACGAGCTGCGCACCGTTTTCGAATTCGGGAATTTGAAAAACCTTGCAGACGCGTCATCGTATACGACACCGTGGGCGACAGTTCCAGTCCATGTTTGCACCGCTTTGGTGCTGTACCGAGAAGTGTTGCTCGTTGATTTGATCCGAATTTATTCTTGTCCGGCACTTCCCTTCTTCAGGCGGTATTGCTCTCTCAGACCTGAACCCCCATCCGAGAGTGGATGAAAGGGCCTTACAACGGGAATAACCCGCCTGTATGACATCGACTTCTTCATCGGCTCGGATTTATGATCCGATCAGATTCTTACAAGCCATGTTCCGTTTTCAGGCGCTATTGCTCTCTCAGACCTGGACCCCCCTCCGGGAGTGGATGAACGGCACATGTGACGGGAACAAGTGCCTGTACAACTACGACTACACGCTCCGCCCCGTTGGCACGCTGTGGGAGAACCTCTACTACAACGAGTGGATGACGACCGGAATCGTCGGCAGGACTAACGCCGCCGGGCAGTTCGCGTTCCGGGGCTTTGCCGGAAAGTACAACGCGACGGTGAGTTCTATCTTGCCGGACTTCTGTATGCTTTCCGAGACTTCTTTGCATACTTTTTCTGAATATTTTAAGAGCCTGTACTGCGACGAGTGGATGATAACTGGGATCGTCGGAGGACGAACTCTGCTGGGCAGTTTGCGTTCCGGGGCTTTGCCGGAAAGTACAACGCGACGGTGAGTTGTCGTTTGCTGCATGCTTTTTGCTTACAGGAATTAGTTCGCTTGTTTATGTTGAAGATTTTCAAAAGCCTGTACGTTAAGGAGTGATTTGAGGACGACCGAGATTGTCGGCAGGAGCAGACTCTGCTTGGCAGATTGCGTTCCGGGGCTGTACAATGCAACGGTGGTTTGTCGTTTGCCGCCTATTTGATCCCTTTCAAGACTTTGGCCTACTCGGCTGAAAAGGACGCCGCTTCATTGACTTGATCACGTACTTGAATCTTTGGAAGTCAAAGCCTCCTGGGCAGTTCGCGTTTGGAGCTTTGCAGGGTAGTAATGCTATGTGAGGTCTCATTGGCTGCCGTACTTTAATCTGAAGGTTCGTTACTTTCGCACGCGAAGTCTTTCTTTTTGTGAGTGGATAATGAGAGGAGTTGCCAGAGGAGATCTGGCAGCCGGCTGTTTGCTTTTGCGGGCTTCGCTGGAAAGCACAATTTTACAGAGGTTTCTCATCTCTGGAGAATCACAACTGTAGCCAGAATTGCTCCCTTCGATTTCAGAATTCTCAATCAGCACTTATCCTCTACAGGTGAACGGCACATTCAATTCCACGCACGCCTACCAGACCTCCTACCAGTTCGTCGTCGAGCCACTCAATACGACGGTCAACGTCAGCACATACGCTACCCAGACGGCGGCGCCTTATGTCGCCTTCACCAACGGCACCATTGTGTCGAACGCCAGCATCCCGGCCAATCTGACTCAGGCCCGGAGGACTTATAACATCTCCCAAGTAACCCCCAACGGCGGGTTCTATAACCTATCCTCCACTTTGGACGTATCCACGCCGTTCATCAACATTTACACCGGCTCGGACAACATCGCCGGGCAGATTTACCACCTGGAGAAGACGCCCGGGAACAATAACCTATCGTCTTACCGGGTGGTGCCCGGGTCGGCCCCGCAGACTGTTACCGTTGTGGCCCCGCTAACCCCGCTTAACAGGTACCCGATTAGCACGGTGCAGACTTTCGTCATCCCCACCTAATCATTGGTCAGACCGGGGTACGGGTAGCTTAACTGACTCAGTTAGGTTACGCAGCCTTCCCAATTGAGCAAGGCAAAGTGGTGACACTAAGTTATTGCACGCCGGACGAAGTCGGGTGCAACCATTTCCGGATTCATTTTTGCTCCACGTAGTTATAGAGGCCCGTGCAGGGATTGTAGAGGCGCCCTGCTTGCTTACCGTCGTAGTGAGACTGGCATAGGGATTCGAGAGGCGCTGCTTGCTCCATCATTTCAGTGGTCATGTAACAAGGGTTTGGCGGCGGAGCAAGGAAAAACCGAACCGTACTGGAACCATTTCGTAAGTTGGTTGTATGCTTGTCAATTTATTGTCCCACCATCAATCTTCTTCATGACAGTAAAGTCACGCATGCACTTTGTGATGCTGCACCATCTGACCCGACTATTCAGACCGTACAGTTCCGTCAGTAAGTCTGCATGGGTGCCCAGCTCGACTCGACTCCAACCCTTCTAAACCTTCCCTCCCGTTCGAAGTTCCAATGAAGAGCTCACTGAGTCAGTGATATATGATAGCCTGCGTTCGGCTAGGCTCACTGTCCGATCAGGCCCCAATGATGGCACGTTAAACTTAGCCTTGAAGCGCCGCCAACATTTGCATGATTGAAGCGGACGGGACTCATATTCAAACTCGAAACATGTTAGTACGTACGACCGCAAACTTATCGCATGCCTGCATGGCTGGCATGCGAGGAATGCTTGAATGTGGGTAGCCGCCCACCTGGCTAGGCTAGGCCCGCATCCTAATGCAATGGGTCAAATGCCGGGATCATGTTTTGCTTGCATGGTGCACTTGAACCGTGTTCAATGTACATGTGCGATGAACTAAGGCCCAGCGCACGGCCTTAAGTTCAATCAATGCACACACGATGGCGGGCCTAGAGCTAGTATGGGTAGCAAATTACGATACGTAACTACATTGCGCTGAGTCAGTGATTCAATGATCACTGAATCAACCTTGCCAGGCGGCGCCTGCATGTACGTAATAGTGTGTACGTGTGTGTGTACGTGCTTAAGTTACATGAACGTTCAATAGGCCCGTGCATGCGGCAGTTGATCGAATTTCTAGATTCATGAGCAGTATGTTCTATCGAGCTGCATATTATATTGACTGAGCCTGATCATGGCTCGGTTTAAACGTACGCCACGGGCCCGCCACCCAACTCGAACTCGAACTCCAACTGTTGGATCCAACATTTTTTGGATGCCCTGCCAGGAAGCCGCGGCCGGAGCTAGCAGTATTGTGATCATGATAATCATTGACTCATGGCTCGAGCATGACGGGCTAAATTAATTTGAACTTAGCGCCGCGGTCGCTTCGAAAGACCAGCCTGCGCATTCATGCAGCCGCACATGCCCGGCGCGCCAGAGTGTCCCGACAACTTCTCATAGGCTCGTGACCGTCTCAATGCTCTAGGCTAGATATCTAGCAACGATCTGCAGCGATCCAGCGTTTCTCACCTAGCTCAAAGAAATATTCTGGCACGAGAATGCCCAACTCGTCGATTTGACAAGAGTAATTGTTGCAGTGGGTCTGAATCTCTGTTTGGGCAGGTGACAATGTACACAGGAAATGTATAATCTAGATACCTGAAGTCAGGCCTAAAGCTGTCTACAAAACCGTTCGGTTCCTAGTACTTTCGTCTGCAAAGGGGTCCTAGTCATCAGAAGACTACTAGAATGAAAACTAGGTGCTTAGTTTCATCGAATGGTTCCAAGCTCGTGTGGGGCGCCATAATCTGGCCCAGCTCTGAAAGTTTATGCAACCTAGACTAGGGACAGGAGCATACTGTATAAATAATCTGCTCCGTTAAGAAGAAATTCTGAAAACCCCTATATGTCAACAGATCCTTGATTTGATCACCAAACTCTTGATTAACCCCTAACAAGCTTCATCCTGAATCGAAACTTTAACGAACCGTCCTTGTGGATTTGAAAATTTGCATCTTGCCTCGTAACCAGTATGTAACCCCTGACAAAAATTGAAACGCCGCGCTCATCCGGGCCTACCACTACGTATGCACAGAGTACCATCTTCCACCTACACGTCGATCATTTCTAAGCCTAACCTTTCCGGAACTCCTTCGAAGCGTCATCTCACACGCGCGATCTCAGAGGCTCCATTCCGTCCCCTGCAGCGCCACAGGGATCCCTCGGTAATTGGTCCAACTCACTCGGGCTTCAGTCCCCGGTCGCTCAAAAGGGGTACTTCTCGACGCGGCTTTTGCCCGGGAGCTTGCGCCGGCCGCAGCTTCACCATGATGCGCACAAGATGCGCATGCCACGAAACTCCCACGAAACATATTCCGCCCACGATGCATCCGATCGTGGACGGAACCAAGTTGGCGCCAGATCAGGTGTCCCGCCGTCGTTGGGGCGCCGCCAGCGAGGCCCTGCACGCGGCGACAGATGAGTGTCAGAAGAAGGGCATATGGTCGCCGCGTGTGGCGAAGGCTTTGACCCTGGACACGGGAGGATCGGGGGCACGGATCGAACGGACGAGATTGCTGCGGAAGGAAACACGGACGAGCTCGATCTAATGGACAGATTGGCGCAGAAGCAATTACAGGATTCCGGCGAGTCGCATACCGGAAGCGCGCGGAATGAAAGGAGGCGTTAGACTAGCTACCGGCTGTTGCCGGGACAAAAGCTTCGACGGCCGCTGAGTTTGCGTCCCGCCTTTGCCTGGTGAATTGTCCCCATACGAACCCTTGGTTGTTCTCTTTTCCCGATCGAGCCTGTTCAGTTTAGTAGCGAGTCTCTCGAACTCAAGGGGAACGTAAGAGTGCCTCACTGTCCAACCAGCACGGGCTTTGAATGGCAGGATTGCATTTGCATGCCACGACGTAGAAGGATCCCAAATCATTGCAAAGAAGTGACCCGCGCAATCAAAGCGCACGAGAGAGCTTGCCTGATTTCAGAATATTGAACCTCAAAGGCGCCTTTATCCTTCGACAGTTTGCGTATGAAAAGAGTTCGATTGTAAACTACCACGTGTTAATCCAGATAGATCTGACGAGACGACCTTGACGGGGTCAGACACGGTCCTGAACTGGAAGAGAAGGTTGGCGATGCCAAGCTCAAAGCCCGCGATCGGACGAAGTACGTGACGGGGAGGTAAATGCCAAAGATTTTGCCGATGACGTCAGTCGACGCCATGCCTCGCCAGACCGCTGCGCAATGGGAAACCAATCGGGAAGTCAGCTTTTCCGATCAATCATGGATTTCTGGACGACCAAGGAACCGACCGGAGGTTTCCGAGGTCCCGAGCTTACCGATGAGTTGGCAAGGGAACAATGGGATCCCACTGTGCGAACGTTGGTCAACGGAGCCGATGCGGCGGCGCGTGCGCGCGATCTCGCAGCGTTGCCAGACACGCGTGCGCGCGCTTTTCTGGGGTTTGCTTGGCTGACATGTTCAGCGGCTTCACGGTAGAGGTGCAGCGGAGCCTTTCGAATGAGCGGGAAAGATCCGCAGGGCCACAGCGCGGGACTTTGTGCCGGTGGCGTCAGCCATACTAATGACGACGTCAGCCTTTGAGTGGGGAAGCTCGTTGTTATACTCTCACCGCGCAAATCAAAGCGGTCCTCCTCTTCTCTTCGGTTTGGCTTTACAGAGCGCCACCTAGAAAAGGTACGGCACAGCGCAAGATCGCTGATCATGCGCCTGAGGCTTCACAGATCGAAGGCCTACACGACGTCCTTGATTTTCCTTGTCGATGAATGAGAAAGCTGAACTCTTGACAGAGTCCTCCGTGCTTGTTCGTATGACCAGCGCCCAAAGCCCCGAGAAACCAGCCAGAGCCCCAGCCGTTGAAAGAAAGAACGAGAGAGCACGAGTAGCGCTTTTTCCGAGCCTGCGGCAGCAGATAGGAACGGCGCAACTTTGTAAGGGGTGGCATCCGACAGAAACGCATGGAACACAGCATGGGCCTCATAAGTGCCCAAGAGGCTATTGCCGTCATTGCCAGCTAGAGTCGCATGTGCTATTTCTGAGGTCATAACCGTCATGACTTCGTTTTGCTTCAATGCAATGTCTTGGACCAGATGACTGTCACAAGCTTGGTCCATGGAAGCTTGACCGATGGAAGCTCTGATTGACTGCGCACAATCGAGGCTCATTCTGGATATTGCACCTCTGACGCAGATTCTGGATCCAGCACAACTGTCTAGTCTCGTAGCTTGCAGCACGTTATTGCACACTGTCAAAAAAAGCTGAGCGGGCTTGTCCTTAGGCAATAGGAATGCCTTAAGTATCTAGGTTATTCAAGGCAAACGGAGAGGCGTCAGCCGAACTGTCAATGGCTTCGACCGACGCCCCGAAAGTTAAGTTCGTCTTGAAAATCGGCGAGTCGCAACGTTGGGACTGCTTGTAACCATGAGGCGCTGCCCGCCTTTAAAGCCGCCTCTGACTATCTCTTGGCTTGAAGGGTAAGGCGAAACCTGGAGAAGTGGCATCAGATTGCCTGCCGGATGGTTCATGGGCGGCAATCCCCAAATCCCCGGTACCGTCATCATATGCCGTTCAATGTAAAAATAGATCAAGACATCTAGAAGGAGACTCGAAGGTCACTTTGTCCCAAAACTGGTGGCAAACCCTACAAATGCACTTGATGAGCACTGAGCCTAAATTGCAGAGGAACAGCGAGACTTTTGGGAGCCCGTAAATAGGTACAAGCGAGATTGCGGTAAAGATTCTCCTGACCGCGGAGTCTAAAAGGAGCTTTCGGTCCCTGTTTTCCCAGACTGCCTACGTACGCGCATCATCTACCAGGAAGCGAAGTGCTCAGCGCTTGCTATTCGCTGAGCATGAACGGTTTATCTCAGAATAAAGCATCACGGGGCCGGTCTTTAATGGAGGGCGGATGGCGCGACCACCAATCGTGCGCAAGCCGCGACATAACTTCGAAGCGACCAAAAAGCTTCAAACAGCTTCGGAGACACAAGTGGAATTGAGCTCTTTGAGCTCACCTTCCATCTGGGTGTATCCTCATAGCTGTTTCCGTCCTAAGGCCGCGTTAAGTGCTTACCTGCTTAGCCACCGGGTTGAAGAGTAAGTGATCGGGATGCGACCACGTCCTAAGAGTCTAGGAGGGCACCGGACAGCCAAAAAAAGAAAAACTGGGCGCATAGCGAAAGCCTCACAACCAGACTTACGGCCACGTTAATTGTCCGAGTCGGCCTACTTCCTGCATCTGAGGTTAATTAGTCCTCAAATCGAAGCAGGGCGCAATAACGGGGCCAAAGATGGCGTCAGGAGAAATCACGAGACAGTTTGGGCCGCGCTCTTGCAAGGTCCCGTCTGTACCTTCTCGTCAAAGCCAGTTACATATGTACTTTATGGGTCCTTTGCGTTCCCCAAAGCTTGGAAGCGTGCAATCT